TAAGAAAGGTTTTCCTATGAATTAATTAGTAGAAAAGTCCATTTCTACTGTGCATTGTGCCTCTTGCTATGGAACATGCAGTGATTTTCCCTACTTACATTCCTGTGGGTCATAAAACCAGTGGTATCAGCATTAGTTGCCATGGGGACCAGGGGGGCCTGGTGTCGTTGCAGACATCCTGGCACCCGGTTTATTGGGTGAGGGGACTGTGACGATTTGTTAATCTAATGAATAACTGATATGTTAAATCAAATGAAAAATTGTGTTTTTGATTGGTCCAGATGCTACATTATATACTGTATTATTATACAAAAACATTTCAATTCCAAATGTAAATATAACCCACTACTCCGTTTCATGTGCCTATACAAGCCGTTGTTTTTCGCTTTTTAACTGAATTTAATATTCTTCTAAACCATGATCTCATGCTAAGCAAAATGAGCATTTCCTCAATGTTTGATCCTCTTTTGACTGCAAGAATTTGTCAGGTCAGCGTTCACCAAACTTCAACTTTTGCACGCAGCATAAGAAATTAATTCTTTGCATATCCTTACATATCCACTCTCTCGGTTTTGTGTGCTTATGAATAGAGGTGAATGAAACACAAAAGTCTGGTGTGACCGCCCCTTTAAACTAATATCATGTTGCACCCCGGCTTTAAAACATGAGATCCACATCACAGGTCTGAGATTCAGCCCATCAGGGCCAGACGGCTCCATCCCACACGCACACGTACACGCACACGCACACACACACACACACACACTCACACTCACACTCACACTCACACACTCACACACGCACACGCACACACACACCCCTACCCCTAAACCTACCCCTTAGAGGAAACATTGTACTATTTCAGATTTTCAATACACTCCATTCTGTGTGATTTAAAAGCGTTTTGAAAAGTGGGAACATGGGGTAATGTCCTGAAAAGTCACCTTCTCACACACAGAGAGAGAGCGAGAGAGACTGTAGCCCGACATTGGCAATGTTTCTGTTTGTAATCCATCCAAATGCTCGTCTAGGCTTCCTCTACTGTTCTGTTCAGTTGGCTTCAGCACCTAGAGTGTCTGACTGTGGGTCAGTGTGGGCATAAGGCTCAACTCCCCTTACCCAGTGCTGGCGGACCAGGGGGCTTTTCAGGAGATTTGTTCCAGTTTATCTGCATATTTCAACTGGCTTTAGTGTGCTGCTAACTGATAAAATGCTGCCAGTCTCCCTGAGCTCTGCCAATGCTGAGGCTCACTGACCTTCCACTGAAGATTCCTTTTGAACGAGGGGGAAAAGGGGGAAAAAAGACAAAAAATAAAGGGAAAAATCGAGGCGGGTGGAAGGAGGCTCCAAGGTTTATCACGTTTGGAACAAAAAAACAGAGACGTCAGAAGTCCTTCCCTTTCCAAACACACAAGCGCATAATATCCACACACACAAGCATACAAAATACCAGCATGGCTTCATAGATGATTAAGTATAACAGACAAGTTGCCCTATGTCTTGACATCGCCCACCTGCACAAGTAAAACCAGCATAGCTATCATGAAAACATTGCCGCACACCGTGTAAAAAGGACTATGTGTGGGAATCACACATAAAACCTAAAATCAACTTAATTGTGGGGATCAGCCAGTGGTGCCTACAGGGAAACCACTTAAACATTCTAAGTTTTTAGTTTTATATATTTTTTGAGGTTTAAAAAAAATGTATTAAACAAATATACTGACAATCATTGTAATAATGCAGATGTTTTTGGTTTGCTATTAAATTGTGAATCTTAAGGACTAATAAGTAATAACAAAATATAAATCATACAAATTCCGTACCCAAAAATGTGTCAAGACACCAGCATTTCTTGCATCTCAGTTAGAAAACTAAACCATCAAATCTCAAATTAATAGGTCAGAGATAAATCTTGCTGATGATGACAGAATATTATTATTCTTTTATTATGTTTTTATATTGCACTTCTCAACAGCACAACCATAATTGAGACTGGCTGCAGTGATCTGGGGAAGAAGAACAATTGTGACACTCAAGGGACACTTTCCATAAAGCTCTACATAAATGTAGGAGATGGGTAAAAATTTGAACTTGGAACTAATGCCGTGCACAAAAACAAAAGCTGACATAGTTAAATGATGGTTCACTTGGATAATACCCAACCCACCCTCACCCCAAATCCAGATTATAGTAAAATCAGGGAAATATTGTCCTCGCTACAAAAGCACATGTTAAAATATCAAATGACATTTTATAATACTGTCAGACAGTATAACATCTCACGAAGCCAAGTCAAAGTATGGGCAGCTCTTCATCTCTTTAGTGCAGGGGTGATGGTCAGGTCAACCTCATCATCTCCCTGCTCTGGATTATAGATTATAGCTGTAATCTGGAATTGAGGACATGCCTCGAAATACTAAAAACAACCAAGGCCAGATGGACAAACTAAACTATTTGAAAACACTGATGTATGATTAAAATATACACATTTTAATAATAAAAAAAGAACTAGGATTTCAAAGATTGTGGCCTTTACAGTGTAATTCAACCATTTTATGATGAGCACCATCTACCTGTTCAGATATCGCATTCCTTATTTTGATCATTTGTGGCCTACAACAATATGGTATGCAACTAAGTAATCTGTTTTAAGGAAGAACTGAATAATTAGACTTAGACTAGTTTTGAATTTACCTGACCCAGATAAATATGTTTCTTGGGGAGATTTTTACATATGACATATTCTCAGATTCACAAACAGCCTGGGTGAGACGCAACACTGGAAAGGAGGTTTCAAGACACATTTAAAAAATTGGAAAACAGTGCAAGATGAGATATAACGTTCCAAGACATCCGTCTGAATGTGTATGGCTATAACACTGGCGCTTTTAAGGGGATTTTATCATACTGTCTAACAGCTCTAATTAAAGCGCTGATAAATAGGAGATTTTTACATATAACATATTCTCAGATTCACAAACAGCCTGGGTGAGACGCAACACTGGAAAGGAGGTTTCAAGACACATTTTAAAAATTGGAAAACAGTGCAAGATGAGATATAACGTTCCAAGACATCCGTCTGAATGTGTATGGCTATAACACTGGCGCTTTTAAGGGGATTTTATCATACTGTCTAACAGCTCTAATTAAAGCGCTGATAAATAAATAAACACAAATAATAATAATAATTGACACACCAGTCAACCTCACTTAAGCAACTAGTCAGTCATTGGAGTCAACCATTGGGACCTGTCCCTATCACAATCTCTTTCACATCACTTTGAATATGAACAAATTCACAATTTTTTTGGGAATGGTCCACAATGACTATTTAATATCTTTTGAACGCAAAGTTCAAACCTAACAAAATGTAGTACAAACAGAAATCAGGACATTTTAAATAAATACACCAAATTTTGTCCAATTTCATCCATAGGGGGCCATTAAAACAAAGCAAAAGCTTGATTTGGCAAGCTTTTCCTTTGATGTAAGTGCTATTATATCCTACAGCAGGGGTGTCCAATCCTGTTTATGAAGGGCCAATATCCTGCAGACTTCAGCTTCAACCTGCCCCAACACATCTGGAAGTTTGTAGTGATCTTGAAGACCTTCATTAGCTGGTTGAAGTCTGTAGGATCTGCAGGATAGTGGCCCTTCTTAAGCAGGATTGGACACCTTTGCTCTAAAAATAGACTTGGTTACCAATGTGTAAAGAGAACAAGAGGCGAAATGCAGATTGTGGTTGCTTACCTGCTGAAACACGAGGGCAGTCATTAAGCATGGGGTCCACCAGAGTATCCAGGGGCTCAGGACTCGACACCCAGTTACAGCAGTGCTGTGAGAGGGAAAAAAGGGGGAGGGAGACAGGAGCAAGCAATTAGGTACCTTAGAGACATCTCACACTGACAGTTTTGACTGTTTATGTTGGACAGGAGCGGGCACACCACTGTGTTCTTGGCCTAGTGACCTCGCCAAAGCTCCCAATGTCATCAGCCCAGCCCCTGAGACACCATCTCTTGACTCAATCTTCAACACAGAGTGTTTGTCTTCAGCTAAAACAAGTTTAATTAGGCATGTCTGGTTGAGAAAATCATCACACCCTCAAGCTGTAATGTATTCAACATTTTCACTAAATGCATGCTGGCAGAACGTGTATTATGGAAACAATCATACTGTTTAGATGGGGTGCAGAGTTGAAAAAAGTTACAAAGGCATGCATGGAAAAGCGGGGTCTGGAGATAAGATAAAACATGCTGAATAGAAGAGAGAGAAATTCAAGCGAGATTAGCGTATTGCAGCTGGCGTCCTTGTGAAGCGCTGCTTATCTAGGGTTGTTTACTTTCGCAGACATAGCACTGTCAGCCATTACCACTGCCGAGGGGACTGCAACCCACCCGTCCACAGACACACATAGACATGGACAGAAAGACAGACAGATACCCACAAACACAATACTATCTAACCCTCCACCAACTCCCAAGACAACCTCCCCTGACAGAGCAGAGAGGGACGATTCCACCACCCCAGACACCCCGCAAAAGACACTCGCATACATAAGCACACACATGACAGAGCCCCAGGTCACATCACACCTCAGCCTGTCAACCTCCTTCACCTCTGAGCCCTGTGTCACTCTAGGGGTCACCACACTGCCACCCCACAGGGACCCTCTATGTGTGTGTTTGGCCAACAGAGAAGGGGTATATACTGGGAAGCACATGAAATTGATTTTTAATTCCATCAATCTTTTTGGCCATGGCACCCTTGGTTAACTCATAATGTGTATAATGATAAATCAATTCAAGAAATAACATGATTCTGAAGTCTGGGGTGGTAGTGGCTGCAACAATTACTGTATGTAAGCGGCCTAGAGTTGAGATAAAGACTTTGAGATCCAGTGGATGACAGAAGTTTAAACATTAACAATAATGCAAATACTCTCAACAGGAAACTGAGATCCACAAATAAAGACACTCTTTAATACAGTAATAAGCCACAAGGTAGAGGTCTACACGGAGGACCCGAGGACCCGGGACCCGACCCGGGATCCGTACGGGTTCGGGGCTATATTTTAAATGGTCAGCCGGGTCCGGGTCAGGTCCCATTCGGTTCAGTGTAGCACATTTACGGGTCTCTTCGGGTTCAGGTACGTATTTTTGGACCCGTGTAGACCTCTACCACAAGGCCATTTATTACAGTGATTACCAAAGTTAAAAGTTGTTCTTAGGCACAACGTTAAGTGAAGTGTCTAAAATCTTTGGTATTTTTATATACACTTCCATTCAAAAATGTGAAGTCTTATACTCACCAAAGATGCATTTACAGTATTTGAAGTAAAAAAATAAAGTTAAGTATTTGAAGTAAAAAAAAATATTGTGAAATATTATTACCATTTAAAATACTTTTTTTCTATTTTCATATATTTTAAAATGTAATTTCTTTTTGTGATGGCTAATCTGAATTTTCAGCAACCATTGATCCAGTATTCAGTGTCACATGATTCTTCAAAAATCATTCAATGTTGATTGTTGTTCAAGATTAGAAAGTTTAAAAGAACAGTGTTCATTTGAAATAGATTTTTTTTGTCACAACGTAAAAGCCTTTATTGTCACTTTTGATCAATTCGATGCATCCTTTCGTAATAAAAATATAAATACATTTATTTAAATTTATTAATAATAATAAATACTGGCTTCAAACTTTTGAACTATAAATACACCCAAACTAAATATATCAGGTAAAAAAATTAAGATTTGATTGTTTATTGTTGTTGTTTATTTTGTAATTATATATACATATATATATATATATATGAGCAATACCACTCGAGTACGAGAGCGATACTGGCTCTATATCAGCATGGCTGTGATTAGGCCAGAGGCAATCAGAGGCAAACGGAGTGCCTAATAAAACCCTCTTTTGTGCGGAACTACTTCCTTCTGCCACAGATTCAAAGCTCAAGCAAATTTCATTTTTTCAAGCTCAATTACTGCTGCAATATGTAGTCCTCCCTGCTTTTGGCATATTCTCTTTACATGCTTCATGATGTTGAAAGTCAGAAAAAAGCCCTGTGCCATGGCCCTGGAGTTCTCCTCTCATTTCTCTTGTCTTTATTCTCCTCTCTTAATCCTGTCAGTCGCTTGCGTGCCTGGGTTGGGGGAGAAGACAACTGCCATTGGAATGAACAGGCATGCATTGTGTATTTTTAGAATTCCTGCTGCCCTAGTTGTGCACCATGGAGCCGGGCCAGTGAGAGGAGCGCTCCCTGACTGCTGCATCAAGTGTCTTATTGTACAATCTTAATTCATGCCGTCTGTAGAAAGATGTCAGCTGGGCTGGAAGCAAGGGCAGGAATTTCAAAGACCGGAGTCCCAGCCAGTGAGTGGCAAAGAGGCGGGGGGTGGGAAGAGGCTTCAACAGCTTTGTCAGGGCTGGCTGATGCACCAGGATGAGTTTTAGATGAAACCGAAAGCCAAGGCCACTATGTAAGAGGATGACATACTGTAGCTTTAAAAGAACAGATACAACACCAAGAATGGTGGAAGGATTTTTTGGGATAGAGAAGCTGGGTCAGGCAATTGGTATTGTTCCAATCTTTTTGTGAAATCTGATGGCTTGTGGTTGTCTTGAATAGCATAAAAATGACAATTTAATCCATATATATCCTCATAATATGGCCCTTTAGCTAATAAAGCATTTGACAGAAGTGCCTGATAATACAAGTAAAAATCAAGAATTAATTAGACAAATTAGATATGAACAAACACACCTTTAAGTCTTCTGTTTATTCACTGTAAACAATGATTGTGATTTTAACAGTAAAAGACTGTAAAAATGCTACAGTAAAAACCTGTTAATTGGTTAACAGTAGGGGTGTAACGGTACACAAATATGACGGTTCGGTACGTACCTCGGTTTTTACCATAAATTTTACGGAATTTTTTTACAGTGTATAATTTATAGCGTAAAAAACTAAATTGACACTCCCAGAATTCAATGCATGACCCTTCATATTTGATGTTTTTTTATTGAAATAACTTTCTTAATTTTTTTCTTATCAGTTGCGTATGTTAAGGTTTTATCTTACATCTAATGCTGTTAAATTCATGTTTATTGCATTATTTCAGTATCGTGTGTTACCATGATGGTGTTTAGTGTTTGTGTGAATGACACTGTGCACCTTCTATGTATATATATATATTAATATTTTCCTTCTCAGCTTTTGGAAGAGCTGATTGTGATGAGGTGACTTTCTCATCACCACCAGTTTTTGGTGGTTAGTGTATTACAATGGTACAAAACAGATAGTAGTTCTTCAATATGTTGGTTTATTAACATTACATTCGTTTTTTTTTTTTTTTTTTACAGTGTAGTCTAGTAGAGAAAAAGAGGCTTTAAGTTAAGCGTTCCCCTATATTCTACCTTATGGGTAAAGGCCTTCTCCACTTTTTTGCAGTAAAGGTGATTCCATATATACAGTGTCCACAAAATGTTTAATGTAAGAGCAAATGCACCATTTGTAAGAATGTTTTTAGTTTTTGAAAGAAATTAATTTAGTGATGGAACTTCTTGGATTTTAGCGTGCAGCCAATATGTTCAGATAACCCAACTAGTCCAGCATATAAATTTCTCGTTTTGCACATTCTTGCACAAAATATAGCAATACCTTGTGTTTAAATATGATGGCGCAAAGCAGACATCTGAACTCAAAATGATCTGTCAAGAGTTTTTGAATGCTCTGCGATGGAAATGTGCATGAATGGCCATTACGCTAACCATTTACGCAACCCTTCCAAATCCCAACTGAAGCTGAATGAAATGAAAAACGACAAATGGACACAAATGAGTGATAATCGTCTATGGTGAGGCCCATCAGCATTAATCAGGGCCATATGGTTGTGGTATTCCCGGCTCTTCTGGGCTGGGAGATGGGGTGCTGGAGCATGGTGGGACTCTATGCGGTCTCCTAATGGCCCAGTTAGAGAAGGTAAATGGAAGACAGGTGTTGGATCCTGCTGAGAGTGCCCTCTCCTACCTGCACTTATTAAGCATCCCTGCGTCTGGCCTCCTATCCTTTAGCTGCCCTTTAACATGCCACATTCTGCTCAGTCAGTCCTGGTTGCACTGTGGTGTATCACAACTCATCCACTGTATTCAACAAGACAGACGAGTGTCAACATGCTGCCACATGCCCAAACTGCTCATCTTGAAAATATACTGTAAAAAGTAAATATTGAGAAAACTCAAACTCAACACCTATATGCATTCAGATTTTAGGTTCTCTCATCTGATCTTTTAAAAACTGTCACAGAGCAGCACTGCTTTGTTTTGTCAATTTGAATTTGTTTGTTCACGCCTAATTAAGCCAATTTATTCACAGAATCAATATATATAGGATGCTTAAAACCAGTTGTGATATGAACTATGCTATCTTTGTTTCTGAGACGTAATCACTTTACAAAGCAAAGATATCTGGGATATAGTCTTAGAAGGTTGTACACAGACCTCAACTCTTCACACACAAACCTCAAGAACAGTGACAATCAACAATTCAACAACAAAAAAAGATCTTAAAGTAATAGTTCACCCAAAAATGAAAACTGTTATCATTTACTCACCCTTGTGTCATTCCAAACCCATAAGACTTGTAAACATGGAAGCTTGTGAGCGTGTCACACGCTAGAACAAACCTCAATAGTTCTCTATGTATGTGTATTTAAATGTGAATAAAAGCCCAAATTAAATCTTTTCATCATAAGAAGCGATCGTATCTCTTCACAAGATTAAACCACTTGATTTATATAGATTCAGTTTACAGTGCCTTTATGACCTTTTTGGATCTTCTAAGTGTTGTTTAACTGAATTTTCAATGGAGGGACAGAAGCCTCTCAGGTTTTAGAATCAATATATATAGGATGCTTAATATATGTGATATGAACTATGCTATCTTTGTTTCTGAGACGTAATCATTTTACAAAGCAAAGATATCTGGGATATAGTCTTAGAAGGTTGTACACAGACCTCAACTCTTCACACACAAACCTCAAGAACAGTGACAATCAACAATTCAACAACAAAAAAAGATCTTAAAGTAATAGTTCACCCAAAAATGAAAACTGTTATCATTTACTCACCCTTGTGTCATTCCAAACCCATAAGACTTGTAAACATGGAAGCTTGTGAGTGTGTCACACGCTAGAACAAACCTCAATAGTTCTCTATGTATGTGTATTTAAATGTGAATAAAAGCCCAAATTAAATCTGTTCATCATAAGAAGCGATCGTATCTCTTCACAAGATTAAACCACTTGATTTATATAGATTCAGTTTACAGTGCCTTTATGACCTTTTTGGATCTTCTAAGTGTTGTTTAACTGAATTTTCAATGGAGGGACAGAAGCCTCTCAGGTTTTATTAAAAATATCTTAAACTGTATTTTGAAGAATAACCAAAGTGTTACGGAATGACATTAGGGTGCGTAAATCATGGTAGAATTTTCATTTTTGGGTGAAATATCTTTTTAAAACAACAAATATCTAACAATAACGACAAAACAAAAACGAAAGTTTTAAATACAAAGTTCAGCAAACAGCAAAACAATAATCCTATACCAGTAACTGCATAATTTATTCATGCTGCAGTGCATGCTGGGAACTCACAAACCCTTAACATTTCAGCAATACTGTTCAATTTTAAAATCTTTGGTCAGAAAACTGTTTGGCTAGTTGGGACAACATTTAGGGGAATTTTGGTCTAACATGGGTTTTTATGTAGTTTCAAATAATTCACATTTCTTAGTATTTGTGACTCAGAAAGGTCCTGTAAACTGGAATATATGTAGTTGCTGTTTTTTACAGTGCAGAGAGTAGATATCTGCTCGCTTGCTGCTGTGTTAAGTCTATGTCTCTCTCTACTTGTATGTTCTAGTATGATGTGTTTATATTTTGGCTTTTTTGTCATTTATCTTTCCATCACTGCAGCTTTACAGCCAATGCAGGTATTCTCATGGACAATTGATATTTCTTCACTCTATTTCTCTCTTCTCTCTCTATGTCCTAGGAGATTTTCTCTCACAGTTTCTTCCCCTTCAGTATATACCACTGCTTCCCAAGGGAATCTCATCCTCCTTCAGGTTGCTCTGTTTATGTCTGTCTTCCCCCGTGTCTTCCCTTCCCCCTCTCTCTCCCTCATATGCCCTTAGTCTGCCCCATTATCACCACATCACCTGTCCTACTGTGGTCTCATCCTGAAAATCCCTCCAATTCTTGGCTCTCATCCCTCCATCTACACCTCCCTCATGAGGAGAAGGGGAATTACCACCCCCTGCACGAAAGAGCTCACGATTGTGCAAGGAACGGAGCATCACCTCCGGCAAACCCCTACAGAGATGCCTGCCTGGCCAGAAACAGTGATTTCAAACCTGAATAATGTCCAAATCATGATTGCTATGGATGTTACTATGGAAGGGGATGGGGCCATGACCCTGATTAAAGACAGGTCTACAGTGGAGACACAGGCAGTGGGAAATCTGAACGCCTTTACACAATTCAAGTCCCAATTCCTGCATGAGTAAAAAGGATTAGGGGGTTAACGGGTGACACAAAAGGACTGAAAGTGACTTTAACATTCCTGAAGTGAGAGTCCACCCTCTGGCTTCAATTATTGGGATGAATTAGATCTGAAAATCAATTAAATAAAATGCTCGACCTCATCGGTGTTAATCAGGCCCCCTGACAAATGAATATTTTGGTGTCCTCAATGTATGGCAGTACTTGCAAGTGTGTGAGACCGTACACAGTCTTTTCTTCTGCCATTAACAATAGTCTGTGCAAGCAAGTCACTTTAACTGGATAGTTCACCAAAAAAAAATTTAATACTATCATTATTTACTTATCTTAATGTCGGTTGAAACCTATGAATTGTGGAACACAAAATAAGACATTTCGCAATTTTTTTTTAATATTTCTTGTCTATACAGTCAAGGTCAGTGTTGTTTTGGACCTCATTGACTTATTGTATTGACAAAAACATTCTTCAAAATATCTTTGTGTATGTGTGTGTGTTCCACAGAAGAAATAAAGTCAATCAGGTTTGGAAAAACATGAGGGTGAGTAAACAAATCTGTATTTTTAAGGCAAGTTAGTTAATTCAGCCGCCAACATCCCCAGCCCGTTATTTGCTCTACCTGAACACGGAAAGACTGAAGTCTTGTTTTCAACGTATTATTTCAATAAAACCTTTTAAATCTGCAATAAAATCTGACAACAACTGTACCATAAATTGTTCTTCTTTATCTCAAATCACACTAAACAGCTGTATTTTTCAGGCTCTTTTAACTTAAAGGCAGGACTTCTATTACTACAGCTGTCATATCGAGCATTACACATATTTTCACATTTATTATTCTGCGAGTGGTCTGGCCTCATGTCTCTTGTGTAAGTCACACCACCGGAACGTATAAGAAAGAACAAATCAATGACAACGTATTCTTACTTTTGATGGACTTATTATTCAGGGCAAAAATCACACATAAAAAAAAGAAAGAAAGAAAGAAAGGAGACATAACTTGACAAGATGAAAAAGACATAAAGAAAGAGCCCAAGACCAAAGACAAACTACAACAGACAAAAAAAATAAAAAAATCACCAAGGCAAACAAAAGGCAAGCAAACATCTGACGGAGCAAAGCAGATCAGCAAAGACAAAGGAATAAAAGACATTTTTTCTGGTGGGCTGGGTGGTCCGCTGTTCATGGAGAAAGCGGGCGAGAAGCGAGGGCGTATGTTTGCTCTTGGCATTTGCATGGCTGGCTCCCCTGTAGCCCTGGCTTGGGATCCACTCACTCATATTTATGTGCATATTGAGTGTTCCCAGGTGTTGTCTCTGGACTCGAGGTCAACGCTGAAAGGGCAGCAACTAAATAAAACTGACATACTAACAGAGCATCTGCCTGCGTGCGGCGGTGTTTGGCTTTGATTTCTTATTGACATCTGCCCAAACAGACAAACAAGAGTGTGGGATGAAAAACAAACTATTGGCTTTCCGTGACTCCTGCTTCTGGAGTGTATCTGCTCACTGAATGAAATGCCAGGCTGTTTGAGCTGAGCTGTGTGGCCGCTATTGATGCTGTGATTGGGAACATCAAGATTCTGGCACATTTGGTTGATGGAAGATTGTACCTCTCTGAGCCAGTCCCGAATGGACTTGTTGGCCTCCTGGTGCCAGACGTTATGGACAGAGTCAGTCATGGCCACCACACGGACACGATTCTTCACTTCTGCTTCTCGCTGAATCATCTGAGTGGGAGAGAGATACATTAGCAAATAGCATATGATATCATTGTTTCAATAAAAAGCTGCAGGACCATCGAAATGTACGGTGCATTTCAGTTTTTATTAACAGAAATGTATCTTGTAGAGTATCATATACTGTCAAAGTCATCATTCAGTAACCATGGTATACATCAAAATACCATCATGTATTTTCTGTCAATGCTAATGCGTTAAACATTACAGAATGTGTACATGGTCTGCAATGCATTTGTGACATTACAGTCTTAAATGTAAAAAGAACGCAAAAAACGCTTCTACAAGATAAAAACACATGAAGAGGTGCTTCTTTTCATCCTATTTTAGATTGTGAGCAATCCAAAGGAGTTAGCCTGTCACGCTAACTATTCCATTCAAGATAAACGGCTAGAGAAAAAGGGCCGGTCTGACAACAATAGGTTAACAATCACTTTATGTGATCCATTTTACAGGAGCTACACCTGGCCTGGTGCTACATCAAAGTGTCCATAGTCATTTTAATACATTCCCCAAGCCCATTTAAATTAGAGGGACTGTATAGAGATAAATGGAATCTATTAAGGCACTAAGGACTAATACATCACACCGCTGATAAGCTTTTCTCAGGAGCATCCTCTTAAAGAAAAGGGGAGGAAGCACATGGCGGCTCACACACACACACACACACACACATCGAGTGACTGAAACATGCATGGCTAAAATGTCTTCCTGTTTCAATGATACCCAGGAGGCCAGCAAATTCAACCTTTTAAAAACTACTAAAAGTGTCAGTGAAGACAGCTTTAGGAATATGGAAAGGTAACTAAATATGTTCCAGATATACATAGTTTTAAAAAGCACTTGAAATAAAAAGAACCAAACAGAGAATGGGACTTTCTAGCAATTCTTGGGACGCTGTTGTCATCAGTTTTTTTTTTTTGGTTAAAATATTTATGTTATAGAAACTACTATGAAACATAAATTGTAATATTAAAAGTAACTGTACAAGAAGAACATTTCAGTACATTCTATAACAGGAAAAGGAAATAATATTCCATTTTCGGAATTTTTTTTTCTTTGTATTTTTTATGGATTTGTGAAGTTCAGCCATTCAAATCTGTTACAGAATTAATTTTCTATTAATTTATTATTATTATTAAATATATATTTTTATTTTTAGTTTACGTTTACTGATATAAAAAAACAAGGTTTAAAAACAAACTGTAATACATGAAATAAAATAAACACTATTTAACATAATATTTACTCTGATGATCAAAATTTCCTGAAGTGTAAGCATCTCCTTTTAATTTGTCTACTGAAAATACAAAAATAAATAAATACGGCCCTGTTTTGTACTCTGTTGGTGGAAAGTGTTGTATATTATTACAATGCTGCTGCTAATATGGAAATGTTATGCATGAATATTTAAAACACACAAAAAGGCTGTAATGGTATTTAATGGCATGATTTACTCATCCCATGACAAACGGTCTGACAAAATCATGTAAACACAACCTCAAAGCAAACATGGGCATTGGATACGAAGAGGAAAATGACAGAGAGCAGCTTTGATGTGTGTGAATCTGTGATGTTTTCCATTGGGAAAACTGAAACATGTGTATTAGATTTACAACATCACACTGCTCTGATTGATGTCCTTCAGTGACAGTCTATGTGCTCCACACATGCTGTCAGCAACTGTCTTACCCACACACATAACTTCAGAGAGCCCGTCACTGTAAACCTAAAACTCGAAATGTCCTGTGGACACAGCCAAGCACTGAAATTATTAAAAGAACATATGAACCAATGAAAAAATAAATAATGTACTGTCAGGCCAATCAATGTAAGGGTGCGAGCAAGAATGACGGCACGCACGGGACCAAAGCCTTAAAACCCTCGTAATCTACATTCCTCTGTACATTAGCTTAAGCATTATAACACCACATGAGCCGCTCTCTCAGCTGGTCTGTAACCATAAAAGAAAGAAACCGGGCAGCTGTGCTCATCAACCTCCTGCCCAGAAACAGTGCGAAGAAAAAGCAAACATGTGGAAGTACTTGTTGCACTAAAATCAACAGAGACAGATGTTGAAACATTTGCTATCTCACTTCTGCCCTTTTCTTTGCACTTGAGCATCTGGCTTGAGGAGGAAAGACAGGGGGAGAGGTGAAAGTGCGAAGGAGGCGGCAATGAGACGGAGATGACATCCAGCCTCCGAGATGGAACGAAAACATCACTCTCATTTTCAACATGACTGTGTTAGCGGTAAAATTAGCATTTTCTGAAGAAATTAACAGTCTAGTGTTATAGTTTTAGGTTTTGTAAAAAATGTAATGCTGCATCCGTTGTTGTGACTCTCAATACATGTCTTTTTTCAGTCGGCTGCTCACACGAATCAACACTTAGTTACTATGCAGTGTAAAAGTAGCTGTAAATGGTTAAAAAACTGCAAGGAAGACAAATCACAATTCAGTATGCAAATAGATGTAAGAAAGAATACCAGTCGGAATTCATTATGCAAATATAACCGATGACATCATACTGTGAAAACAACATGTACTAATGATGAATAAGACCAATGTCGTGCATAAAAGTAAAAAAGAGTCTATTTTGACTTCTTGTTCAATGTAATTATATATATAGGGGTCAGTGCGATTTTTTTAAAATAAGTTCAGCAAAGATGCACTAAATTGATTAAAAATGGGAGCAAAAACATCTATAATGTTACAAAAGATGTATTAACTTTTTTTTAAATAAAATGTTTTTTTAACTTTCTGTATCATATTATCCACAAAAATATTAAGCAGCACAACTGTTTTCAACATTGATTATAACAGGACATATTTTGTGATCACCAAATCAACATGTTACAATGATTTCTGAAGGATCATGTGACACTGAAGACTGGATTAATGGCTGCTGAATATTCAGCTTTGCTTTCAAAGGAATACATTAATATGAAAACAGAAAACATTTATTTTAAATTATAATGATATTTCACAATATTACTGTTAATCATACTGTATGTTTGATCAAATAATTGCAGCATGGTGTGAATAAAAGAGTTCTTTCAAAAACATTTTTAAAAAATCATACAGACCCCAAAATTTGAATAAACCCCTTTATCAGAAAGTTTAGAAGAAAATCAGTTCAGTGCTACCTTGCAAATACTATAATAAAGCCAGCACAACTCTCACAGGCAAGAGTTGGTATGAGCTGGTTGTTATTATATATTGTTTATACTAGGTGATTTTGAAAACGCTGCGATGTGGTAAATGGTCTGTTGTGACATTCGGTCAAACGGTATCAAGGACTGCCAGCGGGAAATCTCTGAAGACAGCAGATTTCCCTTCCTTTTCTCCGGATAAGCTCCATTAAGGCTGTTCTCTTCATCCGTCTTTTGCTACACAGCCCAGTTGCTATGAAACCTCAATCAGTAGAAACCCAATTAAAGACACAAGGATGATTTTGGACCAGCTAGCCGAAATGGTCTTTCCGATATTGGCTAAATCCTGCAGCTGATGAGGACAAAATATCCCGGTTGACATATATCCTTACCCCCCTTCCCCAATCTCACTCTCACTTTCTCCCTCTGTTTGACCTCTTCAGTGACCTCTACTGTAAAATACAGCATTTAGCACTTTAAGTGTCTTCACGTCATGTAGTGAGCTAATTGCTGGACTTCAGTTGCTGGAAATCGCATTTTCCTTAATGAAGCTGACCGCAATGGAAGCGCTTCTTTATTTGCCCCTGCATTTCGAACACAGAATAGTGTGAAACACACACACACAGGCAAAGAGGAGAGTTTAACGATAAGAAAGGCGGGGAGGCGACTCTCGTGCGGCGATAAATACTCCGCCATTTCAGCCGTCCTGGCGACAAAAGCGAAAGCTCTCCATGAGACTTACATGCAAATACACAAGCAATAAGACAATTATTTAGGGCTTTGATAATTACGTGTCAAAGGCAGTGCAAGTCACCAGATAATTAGGTGAGAACTGAATGGTAATCCACAATGGCGTCCCTGGAGGCAGAGGAAAAAAACACTCAACACATTCCCAGAAGAATGAGGGAGGAATAAAGTAGCGAAGAGATAAATAAATAACATGGGCTTTTAAAAAGGAACGTGCTTACCAACAAATAGCACCATGAAAAAAGTGGCAATTACCATGGTGAGGGAAGACACTGTGGACACACACTCACGCGCACGTGTGCAAATCCAGATGCGGGCTGATTCAGGAAGCCATGCTGTTAGCATCGGTGCTGAGTCCAGACTAATGCATCCAAACTGCTGCCATAATCTGGACATCCCACTGCGTGGTAAAATGAAGCTTAAATATTTGATTGATTAACTGTCCAATTACAACCAGAGAGCGAGGGCCAACACTGTGCACAGCTACATACATGCACATCCACTCAACAGCAGTATGTCTTGGCAAATGTATACACTGGCCCTAAAAAGTATTTGGACTGTAAAGTAAGCTACACTTAAAAATGTATCAATGTCAACGAATCTAACAAATTTGGTATAGTCAGCAGGATCAAACAGGCCAAGCTGGATCTATAAACAAATGATGCTACCCTTTTCCTCAAATTAACTATTACTTTTAACTGGGGCCAGTTGCTCCACCTTTGTGTTATGCCCTAGTAGTTACTAGTGTAAACGTACATCCTATTTTAAGCAAGGTGTGGTTCATCACAATACTATGAACATAATCCACTACATGTCTGACAACTCAGAAGTGTTTAATACCTTCATCTTAATTCTGAACAATATATCAATTGCATGTGATGTTTCTTTAAAATAAATGCTCTTTGGTTTGATAGTTCAGCGGTTTCATGATAAACTTAATCTCAGTGTCCTTCGCTAGCATTGTGCTGACCCCACTAAGACATCTAACCTCTGGAGCAAAGAGGGGCTCCAAAGGAGGTGAAAAGTTTTGGCCTTTCTTAATTCTCCAGGTCCAAGAGGGCACAGGCCAGCCCTCGTTCCTCTGGCCCCC